TAACAATTATCGCCATTTTCAGATGATAAAACCAAATGAGTTTCCTAAGGTCATTTAGTGGAACAAGTGCAATTTGATCACCAGTATCTATGATTCTGAAGACAGTAACCTTTCCCCACATGCTTCCCAAACTGTGGCTCCAGATCAGCAGCAACACCAGGTAACTTGTAAATATAAATTCTTGGCTTCCATTCCACCAACTGAATCAGGATTCTGGAGGTGGAGCCTAGAAACTGTTCAATGACTGTTATGCATGATCAGAATTTAGTACCAGAGGCTTATACCATGTAACTCAACCTGCACAAAATTACTGCTTATACTCACCACAAAAAGTACCTGAGATCTGTTGGGTATCTTTATTGTTTTGTCATTTTTGAGCAAACATATATTACTGATATATGGTAATTTGAGATACCACCACAAAATCATTTGCAGTAAGGGTGAGAGAGCAGGCAGGCTGAGGTGGAAAGCCCAGATCCACCAGCTAATCTATACTAATAAAAGGGAAATATGCAAATTGACTGTCACTTTGCAAGACCCACCAGCCAATCAGGAGTGAGTATGCAAATTAACCCAACAAAGATGGAATGTCCCTACCTCCCAGCAGCTCCTGGCCTCTGGGCAGCATGCATGCAGGCACTGAGTAGCCAGGTGGGACTGGCCGCCTGCTATAAGGAGGGGGGTGCCAGAGGAAAACTGGTGCCAAAAGCCAGAGGAAAGAAGGCCTATTGCACAGGCCTCTTGTGTTATATAATCTTGTCAAGTTGCATAACTGTGAATTTGGAATTTGTCTTCTGTAAAAATGAAAATAAAAATAAGCTCACACTCAGAAAGCACTTTAGCCCAATGTCTAAAATGTAATAAATACTCAACAAAGTAAATGTAGTTTTCATTGTGATTATTATTGTTAAAGATAATAATATTAGTAACATTTAGTTAATTGCATGAGTAGTAAGGTTTATGTATTATGTATGTTGTAAAACTCCAAAGATGCTCCTTTCTTATAATTTTTTATCTTGGAATGGACTTAATTTTTCCAAATTCAACAAAAATTTATAATTTGTTTCAATTCAATAAACATTTTTATGATCCACAATGTACAATGTATTTTGTTGTTTCAGTTATTTAAGTACAGTGATGATACAGCTATCAACTTATATGTTAGGGAATAGATATCTCTATCTATTGAGTAAAGTTTTTAAATTAAATATTTTAAATCTTCATCTGTATTGGCTTAAAGCATTAAATTGTACATTTTAACATTATTTGAAAAATAATACATTACCACAAAATTAATGGACTGTGCTATTGTGGACACACTTAATTTCAGGTTAAATTTTTTATTCAAAGAAAACTTCATATTGCTATATTGTGATCTCTGTATACTTAATTGTAATTCTCAACAGTGTTTTTTGGTTGTTTGTTTATGATTTTATAGATTTTAGAGAATAAGGGAAATGGGAAGATAGAAACATCAGTGATGAGAGAGAAAACCTGCACACCCCTACTGGGGCTGAAGCTAGCAACCTGGGCATGTGCCCTGACCCAGAATCTAACTGTGATCTTTCGGTTCATGGGTCGATGCTCAATCACTGACTCACACAGGGTAGGCTCAATAGTGTTTTGATACAGAGGTTTTCAAATGGCAATTCACCTGTAATAACAATAGATTCCCTATATTTAACTCAGTGAAGCTCAGGCCAATTATTTCTTATTTATTTGCACCAACCAGTGAAAGAAACCACTAGCTGCCCCTTTCTTATGCTTTTTAACCAAAGAGGCTAGCATCTCCTATGTATTTTTTTTTTAGAGTGAAAATTTCAAGTCTCCAACCTCCCTTTGTATCTGTGTTGTCAAGATTTTTATGTCTTGCATTGTTCTCTACTGAATGCTCAGCAATTTGTCTCTTTTCTGAAATGTGGTGTCTGCTGAACTTAGTCCCCAATTCACAACCTAACAAGACCTGAATGTAGCTCAATATGTTTTTATGCATGATATCACCATTACAATTCAAAGCACTATGGCATTTGAATATTTTAACAGGGATCAGAACATTTACTCATTCAATTTATCACCCATTGTAATTCTTGATTTTCTTTTTTAATCTCTCCTGCTACCATCTCTAGCTTTTTATCATACTTTTTGGTTCCATTGTCTTGCTCTGCATCAACTTTCACATCCATTTCATTTTTCTGAACCCAAAGTCACTGATTTAACCTATCTCCCCAGTGTATAAGATTAGACTATAGAAAAGCACAACACCCCAAATATTTGTAACCCCTGCTACTTCCATACCTCACTTTCTTTTAGATTTATTAACATAAATCCAGAGCATGTCCCAAAATACTTTATAAGTATACTATTACAGTACCTTGGAGGTTTTTAAAAAATTATTTTTAAGGTTCCACTTCAGTAAAAACAAACACACAAACAAACAACAAAAAAATTGACTGGTCTGTTGTCCAGGCTCATTTAAGAAGAAAACTTGCAGTCCCCTTTATTGACTCAGTATAAGAAAATTAAACTCATTTTTAAAAAATGTTAAACTCAGCAACAACTACAGGACTGCATTATTGTTTTATTATTAAGGAGTCATCCCAAAAGTACAAGTTAGGCATCTGATCTTCACACAAATGTATCTCAGTATCATGTACCCTCGCACAGGAGGCCACTTGTATGTGCTGGGGCATGTCATATGGTTGGCTGAGCAAATCTTAGCAAACACAGAGCTAGTTTCACTTATCATGTTTACTTGCCCTGTTATGAAAGAACACAAAGCAGGAAAGTATAAAAATGATGATGAAAATAACAGAAGCACCTTAAAGTATTAGGCCTAATTTTAATTATTTTATCCTGAATAAATAGTTATCAAAACCAAAATGACCTAACACCTTCTCCAAGAGCTTTGATTTATAAGGGATTATGGGAGTTATGGGTTCTTCCAACTTGAAAGTCATAAAATGACTATAAAATGACTACAATCAAAGAAAAGATTAATCTGAGTGCCTGCCTTCTTCTGGGAATGCCCATCACTGTGCTCTACCTACTCATCAGACACACTTACCCCTGCCTTCAACATTACTTTGTCCATGTAACATCCTAACTCATCCTTCATGAGGCAGAATACACTCCTCCAAGGCCTCCATCCCTCCCTTCCTTGTGTTTTAAACCTGTTCTTGCTTCAAAGTACAACTATTTGCGCTCTGCTCATTCTCTTTGCTTTCCAGCTACCAGCTGGTATTGAGAATCACTCAATAAAATTGTGATAGGTGTTTTATTTTAAAAATAGCATTTTCCCAAAGTTACATTTTTAAATGTAGGAAGAGATATTGGGCTAGAACACTCTAGAAAAATTATGATAATGCAATGGTATAAATACAATCTTAATAAATGTTAAAACTATATGTTAATAAGAGTAAATTCATTAAAGTGTTAAAAACAAAACATCAGCAATGAGAAAAGGCATGTGTTGATAGCAAAAAAGAAAATAAACAAGCAAAAAATAATCAAACAAAAAACAGAGAGGGAAAAGTAGAGATCACGATTTTTAAATAATACATTTCACCTTTTTTCTCATATGCACATATGATTATGTAACTTAATTAAATTTTGGATGATTTCATTTTGATAAATATTTATATTTTCATAGCTTATGTCAATGTGGTAGAATTAAAGTAGGTGCTAAAATAGGAGTAAAGTTTTTATAACATTTTAAATCTGAATAATAGTTTTCAGAAGACTTAGCAAAAAAGATAATCATTAGTAAAGTTGAATGATGAAGATGCTTTCATTCTAGAGAAGACTAATGACAGATTTAATCACTGTCTTCAAGTATTTGATGGATCGATTGGGAGATAATAATGATAAAATATTTTCCTTCTTGGCTCAGTATAAGACCAGAAATGATTAACTTAAAGGGCAAACAGGAAAATGCTAGAGAAGGTGAGATATTATGACAAATTACTAAGTGATTTAGTTAAAGGGTTCCCTCAGAGTTTTAAAGCAGGATAATTACCTTTTGACCTGGCATCAGATATGACAAATAAATCTAAATGATTCTCAACAAGGCCAAAACCAATTTGTTTCATATAAGTACATTATTTTCTCTGTGGTTCTTATGCTCATCAAGAACTAATCCATTGCCCATGGAGTCACCCCAGCCATGCAGATCAGGGGCCAGTTTATTGTGGCATATAGAATAAAATCATCTGAACAAATTGTCCCCTGGCTTCTCAGCATTCTCATCAGACTCGGCTTAGTGCAGTGGCCAAAGACGGGAGAGGACTGATTATAAATTACCCAAAATGCAAAAAGCAATGAAAAATAATGGTCTTTGGAAATATAAAACCACCTACAAAGTTTTAAAAAACTGCAATAAGAAGATCACCGACCTCTATTTTTTTATGTTGAATATTCTTTGCATTAACATTATGAGTGATATTTAGAAATATATTTTTTGAAAGTAATTATATTAAATAATTTTAACCTCCATAATGTATTAAAATACTGACTGTGAAATTCCAAGATAAGATATAAGTTTAAGGTCTTTGTCAAGGGTCACAGAAAGAGGAAAGATTCTTTATAACCTTTTTGTGTTTAGTTTTTAATATTAACACTATGCCCCTTTATATCATATGCTTGCAGTTGTTTAATGAATAAATACCACAACCTTTATAAACAACCTTAGAGTTTGGCCTACATTTAATTATTTTGTTCTCATCAGATAGCGACACTATCAAAATTCAAAATACATTGACACTTATATAGGATGAATAACGGCCTGATTTTCTAGTTATTTCAGAACTCAATAAAAACTTGCAAAGGTAAGGGCATTGTGAGTTTGATGCTTGTGCCTTGTAAGCTGTGTACCTGAACTCAAGTTTTGCAGTGTATCCTTTTCTTGTCCTGATTTTCTCCAGATGACAGAGTGGAATGCATACACTGAGTATCTGAAAGCATTATTATATCATATCAAATTTTTAGGATTTGCTTCCATTTACCTGTTTCTGTTGCTGGAAATCCAATCTGAAATAAGTGTCGATGCCTGTTGGTGACAGTGCTTATTGCCAAAGCTGCAGGCCAGCATTATAACTTCCCGACGGAGTTCTCTTATGTATCATCAAAGGAAAAAAAATTAAAAGCAGTGTTAATATCTGGGAGAAAGGGTAACTCGTTACATTACACTATAGTAGATAAGTGAGTAATTAGCAGAAAAATAGTTTTTAGATACAGGAATCCTGATTTCTTGAGTGAGTCAGGCAGAGTAGGAGTTAATCATATTAAAAATCTGCTCTGGAAACAGTACTGTGCTAAGGGATGTGGATTCAGAACTCAACCTCACTAAAAAAAATAAAAAAATAAAAAAAAAATACAGATCTTAAAACATGGCAAAGAAATGCCTTTGATCTCAGTACCAGCAGTCTTCCCAAGAAAGGGAAATAAAAGATGCAAAATGAAAGATTTTTTCATGCTGCTAAAATGACAATGATACTAGTAGTATGTTATGGTACAGTTCAGTCAGGGGAAAAGAAGCAAGTAATAAAATAAAACAATAAAATAAAACAGTACTCATGTTGGTAGGATGCTTGAACAAGAGATCCATTAAAACTGTTTTTTGGCCATCCAAGCTTGATGTATGTTGCCGCAACTTGCTTTAAAATATATTCCTAAACAGGGATAGGGGAAATAAAGATAATGTCAGTTTCAAACCTCTCCATGATGACAACTAAAATTATATACTGAAGTTAAAATATTTTCTAAATACTTTGAAATATATGTAAAATTCAGGCATGGTAATAATATATTATAATTTTATTCAACTTAGTATTTCAAATGTAGATAATAAGAATAAAATACAATTGCTATGGTAGAAGTCTGCTATTTATTTCTGAATGATTTGTACTATTATTTTATGTCAAATTTTGTAGCAAAACAAAGAAATAGGAATGATACTTATGCATACTTATATGCAAATGTATGTGGATATAATTTATTAAAATGAGTACCTAATATTTATGCATTTTATATTAATAGATTATATTTAATGTAAGCTTATAGGTAGATCCAGCCAATAGCCTATCAGTGTTTAATCTGACATGCACAGAACAATCTTCAGTAAAATGACATGATATTTCAAAGTCAATAATGCATTCAGTTCATAATATATTTAAATATCAATAGCAATGTAAGGCATGCTCTCCTCACTTTAAATAGTCCTGAATTTCACCTAAAGAATGAAAGCATTAAAATTATAGTAAAAGCAGTTCTTAACTTTTTCTGAAATTGAGGTGCCTGATGTGATATATAAAATTAAAAACATATATAAAAATGTATTTTACTTTTATAAAAGTTTAATATTGTAGTGTTTCTATGTTGAAAAAAAGGAAGTTTAATAAGTCTTCCTCCAGCACATAAAAATTATGCCATAACTGTAATGACACATATCTTTGTATGACTGTTTTAAGGGTTTGGACTAAACTAACAGTCAAGCCAGAATTATTCCCATCCTATATAATAAAAGGTTAAATCTGCAAATTGACTGAACAATGGAATGACTTGTCACTATGACATGCACTGACCACCAGGGGGCAGATGCTAAATGAAGGAGCTGCTCCCTGGTGGTCAGTGAACCCCCACCGAGGGAGCACCACCCAGCCAGAAGTGTGGCTCAAGGCTGGGGAGCACAGTGTCAGTGGCAAAAGCCTCTCTCCCCTCTGTGGCAACACTAAGGTTGTCTGACTGATGGCTTAGTGGGCCTAAGCCATCAGTTGAACATCCCCTGAGGGCTCCCGGGCTGTGAGAGGGTGCAGGCCAGGTTGAGGGACTCCCCCCCTCCAAGTGCACGAATTTCATGCACCAGGTCTCTAGTTTAAAAATAATTTAAAACAGGTGTTTTCATGTAGGCTTGGGATAAGAAAAAAAGAAACAATTCTGATAGACATCAGACAAATTTAGATGGTTCTAATACATAGATTTTTATAGCGCTGGTAATGGTAATTCCAAATGTGTAAGTTGATTAACAGAAACAGAATAAAAAATAGAATAATTTTATAAAACATAAGGAAGACTTTTAAAATAACTGAATGCAAATAAATAGAACTCAAAGGTGATAAAAAGCAAAGAGGTATATTCTCATCTGCAAAAGTCTCACTGGTGATAAGACATTTAGGAATCAAAAGCTCATTAGCACTACTTAATCTTAATCTTATTAAAATGATTATTATATTAGATTAGACAGTGTCAGCAGTGCAATTTGGATTTACCAGCTTGCAGCTTAGGAAATCTGGTCAGGTAACATTTTGAAATGTTTGTCATGTCTATTTGGATTATCTGTTGTTTGCTTTCTTGTGTCCCCTTGGACCCAATTATGAATGGGTTTTTGCCTCAATGTTGATCTTATCCTTGTTAATTAAGAAAGTGAATTGAATTCACTATGCCCTCTCGGATAAAAATAATGACTGAGAGCCTCTACTGAGTCTGCCTGTATTCTGTTAAGATCTTCGCAATCCTCTATCCAGGTTAACTCCTTTGTGAACATAGAACCCTTTAACTCTTGGAAAGTAAGTTTGAACTTTAAGAATTTGCCATGTGTATTTGTTCCTAAATTCTGAGGCATTTAAGCTTAATTGACACTTTTAGGGCAGAACAAAAAGTAGCTTGTATTAAACTTCTTCAAGTAATTGCCATCACTGTTGCACAGAAAATCAGGGTAAAAATGATAACATGAATTAGAAGGAATCAAAATAACTCAGGGTCAGTTGATTAAAGTAGAGAATGAGAAAATACTTTATCATCTGAAAATAGAAAGGAGAAAATATATCTTTTTACATTGAAGACATTGTATTTCTCCATGCGGTCCAGTAATTTATCCAGAGGATAAAGAGCTCTGCTGGCAGCATGCCAAGGAAGAAAATCCTTCTCCTCAGACAGATATCTGATAATCTCCAGGGGAATATTCTGAGGCAAATAGCCAGCTCTGCATAGTAAAAAAAAAAAGAGTCAATGTTAATTATATGCAAAAAAGGTACATGATGATGCAAAAATGAAGATTTTCCTTATGCAAATAAGAGGCAGAATGCAAGATTTATCATGGTATAAAGAAACCATACTCAGTGTTTTAAAACAAAATTACCCAGTTTTTAAATATAGTTCTACTTAAGATGTCAATGCCCCTAAATATGTAGAGTAGGACAGTTAAATATTTACCTGAACATATAAATACCAAAATGCATGGTTTTAGAAAGAAAGAATTGTGAAATTTGAATGAAATCGACTCTAGGTGTGTTCCTTTAGAGAAAATCTTCAGAGGTCACAAGTCGTTGAAAATAATGGATTGTTGAAATAAAATTTCAGTTCTTCTGGCATTCTCTTTACTTTTCTTATAGCTCTGTGTAATATTTAGTACAGATTGCTTTCAAAATGTTCATCAACATGAAAGTGGCAACTTGGAGTTTTGACTATATCTGTGTTACTTTACCATATAAGCATTTTCCAAACCTGCCAGTTAACTTTTAAAAGAATGCTTTCCAAAGCACCTATGAAAATCAGAGTTAGATTTTAATAGGCTCCAAGTTACAAAACTATTATGAAAATAGACTCATCATTTATTGTTTTTCTTTCAAAATAAATATCATGTCATCTTATGAACCAATGTTAGACACTTTGTAAAATATGAAGCTTTTTAAAATTATCTGAACACTTATTGCCTGTTTTTAAAAAGAGTTTATCCAAAAAGGAGCCAAAAGCAGCATATATCTTTACTCTCTAGTAGATTACATATAAAATCCTTGCAAATCAAAGCAGTATAAATGACAATCCACAGTGCATTAAAAGATGGCCTTATCCTTGATGTCTCTCATGCATACATATAGTGACACTGTATATTTTTCTGAGCTTTCTTTCATTTTTACATTAATAACCAACTGAATACAGACGTATATCACAGACAACAGGTAAATATGAAAGTAACCAATACCCAGTATGGCTTTTACCTACATTTCACATTATTGCTCTTTTATAGCATCACAAGATGAGATGGACCTCTCAATGTGTGTTCGGTAGAAGGTGGACAGGGAAGGAACAAAGCCCTTTCCCATCTTCATTTAGGATAAATTTGCCAGATTATGTAATCCTCACTCAATACGAAAAGCAAAAATTACTCGATAGATGAGTATTAACATGAAGCACTGTTTAGAATGTTTCTAATAAAAACCAATTCTAAATATTGTGCTTCAGTTTTCTTTGAATTAAAAAACAAAAAGTGAGTCACTCATGATTTGGATTCCTCATGGTATAATTTCAACCCCAGTTAATGTCTGATATTAATAAAAGTGAAGAAAATAACTCCAAAATTCCACATCATTTCAACATTTCCTCAAGTTTGTACGATTTGGAGTACATCTAGACTTGTGCCACTTTTCTTACACATTTAATACATTTAATATATCTTCAATGAAATTAGGCTGTGGCACTAGTTAAATAAGACACTTTATCTTTTTTTTGCTGGTGTAGCATATCAATAATACAGTTAAATTTTACTGTTAAGGGGTTCTCGTCCACTGGGGAAAAAATTGTTTAATAAAAATAATTATTTGCTTTTTTCTCTTAAAAACATAGGTTCCTCTAAAATTTTATAATCCACATGCCATGGATAATATAATTTTAGAATTGAAAATTTATCTAGAAGGTATTATTCTTTTTAAAATAAGTAAGAACGCCCTGGCTGGTTTGGCTCAGTGGATAAAGTGTCAGCCTGTGGACTGAAAAGTCCTGGGATCGATTCCAAACAAGAGAATGTACCTTGGTTGTGGGCACATCCCTAGTAGGGGATGTGCAGGAGGCAGCTGATCGATGTTTCTCTCTCATCAATGTTTCTACTTCTCTATTCTTCTCCCTTCCTCTCTGTAAAAAATCAATAAAATTTATTTTAAAAATAAAATAAAATAAGTTAGAAAATTACTTTATTTAAAAAGAAAATTTAGTTAAGTAACTAATTATTATGCATTTCAAATAAATTTTAAAAATCTGGAATGTTGCCTGGGTCTATTTTTCTCAGAATTTAAACATACTAGGTTATATCAGTTACAATTTATTGTGTTTTACTTCATTTCTACGAATGGTTGTACATTATTCAATGATGTATTATTTGTGAGCAATATCTCTACAAATAGAAACCATAACAACAAATGTTACAGAAAGAGACTTTCCTTGAAAAAGAGCCTGAAACGACTAACACTACCTACACAATTAGGCAAATAAACTCACCTTTTTAAGCTTCACCTTCCTTATCTATGAAATAGAGGGTTGAACTGAGAGGCATTTTGTTTAAGCTCCAAAAACCTTTTATTCAAATTGACTTATCTAAAATTTAACCTGCTGGGAAATAATTACAGTAACAAGGGCATAATTTATTTGTTAAAATATTGATAAAATACTTTGCAATTTTTATGCTTCCCATTCTTTAATTGTTTAATATGTATAAGTCTAAGAGGGAGTGGATCTAGTTTTTATAAGTCACTGACATGGTATTAAAAAAAAAGCAAAGAAACTTGATAGAAATTCCAAATAATGGCAAGGCATGTAAAGTATTCATTAGATAGAGATAGGGATCAAGTTTCATTTTGATTCTTTATGGCAAAAATTGCTAACTGCTCACCAAAATCTGTGCTCTCCTTTACTTCCTAGGATAGAGCATAATCTCCATTTCCTAGTTATTAAGTGTGGTCATATGACCTTAGCCAAGAGAATATAAAGGTTATTTGCTTCCAGAATGAACTCATAGGCATTTCTCATTAGCTCCCCCATGTTCTTTTTCCATGAAATGAATCTTACAGATGGGCTTGAAAGTCTTACATTGAATATGTTACAAACCCACCTAGGATAACTGCGGGCCCAAGTACTCACACCAAACTCCATTTAGGCAACCAGGAAATAACATTCTATTGTGTTTGATGCGAATAGAAGTTTGGATCTATTTTTTACAGCAGTTGACGTTCTCTAACACAGTCTTCAAATAGAATAAGATACAAATTACACTCAAATTGCCCTCATTTTGTGCTGTTACAAACAGATATACAATTATTCAATATATTTGAATTTAGCTTACTAGATCAAAATATGTAGCTCCACTAAATTGGACAAGAGGATAACTGGTTTCATTACAAAATTAAGACTAGATAATCTTGGTGAATAAGTTAATAGTTTATATACGCATTTGTATAATTGGCTAGTAATATCTGCTATTATTACTACTGATAATGCTATCAATTCAGGGGAAGTGTGTGGGATCCAGTGAATGGAACACGACATTAGCTCAAAGTTATCAGCTCAGTAGGAAATACACTTAGGGTCCTCACACTGAAATGTAGTTTCCCTAAATTTGTATTATCACAGGGAAATGGCACTAAAAAATGGGAAGAAAAATAGCAAATTTAAAGAATATACCATATATAACCCTAGGAAAAAGTTATATGTAACATCTATATTTTTTCCTGTTGGCATAAAAAAATGATGTAGGAATCAAAGAAAAGACAATGGGTAAGAGAGTTATGAGGATATTTAAATAAAAGAATGTCCATATGCAATTATAGAGTTCCTCTTTCCACCCTTATCACTCTCCCAAACACACACATACCCTCCCTTCCTCCTTCTCCAATTTATAGGAGTTTGCAATGAAATATCTCTAGGCATACAAGAGATTACTTTTTATAAAAAGGAAATTAAAACCAGACTATATTAACTGATGTTTCAGTTCATTGATATTAACTGGTTTGTTTTCACCTAAGATAAAAACTACTTTTTAAAACCTTGTGAATTCCTGATAATGTTAATTCTTGAATCTACTGAGATGGATAGCTTGTAAAACAGCAACCTATTTGACTGTTTTCTTTAAAAGCAATTGGTTTTTGAGTGCTTGAAACTTAGGGAAAAATAAAAAGCACAATCCTCAGACTCTTCCAAGCATCATACCCTAGTCTTCATTAATCGAGTATTCATTTAAAACCAATAAATAGCCTATTACATATTTCCCAATGTATGCAGATGACACTATAACTGTTGCTTAGGGCAGAGATTTTTAAAGCAATTGCTGACATGCTTAATTAAAAAGTGTGCTATTGTATTATTATTTTTTGTTATTCATGGTTCAAAGACTTTCATGTGGTCTTTGTGGAAAGATACTATAGTGGAGATTGGAAACTCCACTAGACCTTTGAGTACTAGAGAATAAAAAGGGAAATACATAGGGGACATATCTTTGTCAACCAACGGTCCACTTGCCAATTCCTGGAGAAAACAAAGATGTGAGTCAAGCATTTGTGAACTGATGTCTGCAAGGGTGAAAAGGAAGTTACTTATTTGTAGCCTCATAAAACTAGAATCATGGAAAGTTGAACGTATACAATCCTCATAGCCTTCCTTCTCCTTCTCCTCCTCTTCCAGGAAGCCTTCTCCCCATACTGACTTAGGCATCCATTTTCTGGGCTCATTTAACATCTTAAAAGCACCTGTACTCATAATAATGATTATTATAATAATTATACTTTACCACAATATAATCTTTCTCACCTCCTGGATTTAAGGAAATAAAGCATGCTTTACCCATCTTTTCATCCACATAGCCTAATACAGAATCTAGTATTAGATTTCTTGAACTAAATTAAATTATGGCAATAAGTAATAGTTCTTGAAAACAGGAACACTTTAAAAGTATACCAAAACTTAAACATAACCACAATTTTCTAAGGTTAAAGGATACCAGCAGAGTGTAAAAATTCAGTGAGAGTGATATTTATAGTATTTTTGCACATCTTGTTCATTAATGATGCCCATGATAAAAGATGAGAAGGCCATTGTTATCTAGCTGACAGTTTTGGATATGTTAAGCTATACCAAAGCAAAATAGCTTTCTGGCCAATGAGGAAACAGAGGCATTACATAAACATTTCTGTTCTTTTGCCTAATTAACAAAATACTTTT